CCATTCATAAAGCCACTCATGTAACCATATTCTGTCAAGACTCAAGAAGTAAGATGGCATGCATTGAAACTGAAGAACATATATCTTCCAGTGTGCATTAACAGTTATGCAAAATTTAAAAGTTGGAAATACGAAGGCTTATAATACCCAAAGATAAAACTTACATAAATAAAGTAGCATAAAGTGAGCTCATGATCAATGACAATCACAATGATTGCAATCATCGTGATATGCATAACAATGAAAATAGCACTAACATCAACCAAAACGAAACTGAACAGAACAATCTACAAGAACAAACCTCAACGGTCCTAAGTTCATTAAGAAGTGATTCTGATGGGTTCGTAATTGTCAGCACTATATGATGGCGCTGAAGCACATATAGCCATTAGTTAGTTCAAGAAAAGCAGGATCATTCCAAGAATAAGGGAAAACGGAAAAAAAAAAAAGAAGAAGCAAATTCTTAATGATTCAGAAAATAACATTGCTCTCACATAGTTATCCATAAGTTTGTGGAGTTCAAACTGCACTTTCCCCAACATTAACAAAACTTTACCTGCAGAAAAATGCAGCATCATTACAGCTCACCCATATTCCATTGATATCAACCCAAACCAACATCACCATATAATGGGCAAGGAAATTCACTCACAAGTTTCTGGGTCGGATAGCAAAGCTGTTTTTTCGAGAAGACAAGAACCCATTTCTCGCAATGATTCTGAGAATTCTACAAATGCATAGATAATAAAATGGTAGACTTTTTTAATGTTAAGCCATATAAAGCATTAACATCACTTTTGGCTGGAAAAGGAAAGTGCAAAAGCTACTCGCATACAATGCAATGAAAAATTAAAAGCTACCAACAGGTAAAAAAAAAAAAAAAGATATAGAATATAGGAGCCACAAAATTAAAAGGGGGAAAAAATGTCCAAACAATGAATTTGATCATGAAGCATATTATTTATACCATATGCACAGTTTGCTGTCAGAGCAGCAGCAGAAAGCAAGCTATCATAGCAATTTCTCATGTCCTGAATGTTCTGCAAAAGATAATAAAAAGAAATAACAGAAAAATATACTCTTTGTAAGTGAAAATCTACAAGGATAGCCATAGAGTGTATGGATCAGAAACGTATTAGTTTACCATTACAAATCCTGATTAAAGTAATGTGACATATCCCAAATATTGACCCAGATTTTAACAATTGGTAAATTAAACTCTGGAAAAAACCTAAATTGATGATCATGCAGAACATCAAATCTCCGAAAAAAAACTTCCACATTCCAGTACAATGTTCAAGACTTTGAAAACCTAAAAATTAATCAACTCCTTTCACTCAACTGTAGCTCATCAAATTAATTACAAAAACTAAAAGAAGGAAAACAGAAATTAAAAAAAAAAAAAAAATCTCACTCCCACAGACCATCTATATTACCAAAAACTAGAAAGGAAAAAAAAAAATTCATGTTGAATTTCTTCGGAAATCTAATACGAACCCACTTAAGCTTTAAAATCATAATAATTCAGCTCCAAACATTTTTTTTAAAAAGTTACCTGAGTAGCGTCGGCAAGCTCATCCAAGCGAGCGGAGGGAAGATAGTCTCTCTTGTCTCTAGCATCGTTCTTGTGAGGAAGCGCAAATCTTCGAAGCTTACCAAGAGAAGACTTCATTTCTGAGAAAACCCTAGCGGAAATGAAACTACAACACCAGATTAAATCGGAAAACCACCTCCCTTCCCCTCCTTCCACCCAAATCCTAATTCCTCAAAAAAAAAAAAATTCCGAGATTTATTTTTCTCCGAAAATTTCTAAAAAAATTGCACTGTAAGATGAATTAATTCGATTTGTTCAACTGCATTGAAAGAGAGCGTTAGCTTTGGTCAAAAAAACTGACTCCAAATAGATCAGAGAGAGAGAGAGAAAGAGGAGAGATGACGAAGCCCGAAGAAAAACCAGAATTTTACAAAAACAAACAGTAAATTAAAAGAATATGGGGAGTAATTCTAACTACGTGACATGTGTCATTTGAGAGGGTACTTTGGTAATCTCATTCTCCACGGCGTAGGATCCAACGACGTCGAAACTGACACGTGGATGCTTGTGATTGTTTGTGGTTTTTAAGTGTTGGGAAACTATCTTGTGTATTCGACGACCTATGATTCTACGGTGTGAGCGCCATTGGATAAAAATGTTACAAGTAGGACCCATGTGAGTCAACGGATCAGAGTGGTTTGCTGTGGCTTTAGGGGAATTCTGGGGGTATGTGCAGTGGAAAAGAAAAATGATTTCGGATAATAGTTTTATATTTTTTTTATAATTTTATATATTATTTA